TTGACCTCACCCCTTTCCTAAGAGGTCTGTAGGGGGCGTGCATAAGCACACCAACGTGCCTACCGTCCCTGTCCTATTGTTTCTCTTATTCTTTTATTTTTCTTATATGTGCCCATTTCATGTATTCACAACTATGTATACACTTATACTTATTATCTTGTAAACAATTGGCAAATCAAATAAATAAATAAATAAATAAATTTTAAATCCAGACAATTCATCCAATTCTCTTAATTTTCCATTACTACATCTTTCTTCCTAAAGAGTTCTTCTCCAAAATTAGAACCAAATCATCAACGAATGCCTTCAGTTTATACATTTCTTTCTTAATTTTCAGTCCAGTAAGTCTCGTTTCGATTATGTTTCTATTCAAAACTTGAAGAATCAAGATGAATGACAGTGGAAAAAGCAGCATCCCTGCCTCATTTCTTTCTGTATTTTAGAGCTTGGTCAACCCCCATTCACAATTATTTGTGCTTTTTGTGAAAATGTATAGATTTCACACATATAACGAAGTTCTTTCCAAAAATTGGTATATTCCAAATTTTAAACAGAAAAATCATTTAAATTGCCAAAACGAAAAGCTTTCTCTGCATCAAGAAATATTAACCTTGTTTTTCACTATTGTGCCAAGTACCCTAATACATTAAGTACTCTAATACATTAAGAACATTTCTAATATTATCTCGTCTCTTGGGTGTAAACAAAAATCCACTCTGGTCTTCATGGATAAAATCTTGAAAAACATTTTTAGATAAAATCACTGTGAATATTTTATAATTATTATAATTTTATAATTATTAGTAAGTATCCTCCTATAATTTTTTGGCAAAATCCATCCCTGGCCTTCTTTTGGAATGACTGCTACATATGCTCCTGACCAACTATCTCATACCTTTCCATTACCTAAAATGGAGTTTATCATTTTTTGTAAAGATAATAAAAACTCATCTGGAAAATATTTGTAAAGTCAATAATACATCTAGAACAGGGGCTATTTATTCATCTTCTTTATAGCATCACAAATTTCCCTTATTATCATTGGTCCAGTCATCATTTGCCTTTGGGCATTTGATAGATTTTATTTCTTAAATTCGTCATCTGCCCTTATCTCATTGTATAGTACTAATTTGCTATTAGCCAATCTTAATAAAGGATAGTCATGGTCTTCCTGTGATGTCCATTTCCCCTTCTGATTTTCCTTGAAGGGCTGACAATTGTGGCATTATTTATTACCTTTATTGTCAGAGTACCTGTGTACAATGAGATTGGCTGAGCCTCCCTTTGTGCACCCCCCCCCCAACTCACAGTGAGGACCCCTAACCCAGTCCCAATCTTATTACATTATGTGACTTTGTTGCACAATGCTCCAGCCCCGCAGGTCTATCATACTATGTTGACATGAAGTTATTTTCTGTTCAGAAGTCTGACAGCCCATGGGTAGAAACTGTTCTTCAGCCTGTTGGTGTGGCTGGCTATGCTTCTATATCTCAATGGTAGGAGAGTAAAGAAGCGCTGACCAGGATGTGAGTCATCCGAGAATTTTCCTTATTCTTCTAAGGCAGCGAGCCCTAGCAATGTCTTCTCGTGGTATCAGGGAACAGCCCACAATGTTTTGTGCTGTGCTGACGACTCTGTAATGTCTTTCTATCCACGGCTGTCAAGCCAGCATACCACACCATAATGCAATGTGTGAGGATGCTTTCTATTGTGGACCGGTAAAAGGTGGTCATCAGTTGTTGTTCCACTTTATTCTTTCGCAAGATCCTAAGGAAATGGAGTCTCTGTTGGGCCTTTCTTGCCACCTGGGTTGTGTTGATTTTCAGGCAAGATTTTTGCTGAGATAAGACTCCCAGGAATTTAAAGGAGGAAACTCTCTCCAAACAGCCCCCCACCTCAATGTAAAGTGGGGCGGGTTCCTCTCTTCTTCCAGAAGTCTAACACCATCTTCTTTGTCTTGCTGATGTTTAGGTGCAGGTTGTTTTCTAGGCACCATGAGGATAATTTTTGAACCTCCTCCTGTTTGCTGCTTCATCTCCACCTGTAATTAAAATAACAACGTCCGGATAACAGAAGAGTTTTAAACAAAGATTATATGTGAGGGAAGGATTTTGCCCTTGAATAAAGGGAATCTGAAAGCCTTAAATCAACATTAGCTCTCTTAAAAGTCCATGGACACACAAAAATTTCGTGGACACTAAGTTAAATTACCTCCTATTTTAATTCATTTTATAAGTCATTCAGAATTTTTAATTAAGAAACTAAAAAACAATAAATGGTATTTTCAAAACAATAAATGGCATTTTCATATGAAGAGTGAACTTTGTTCTGTAATCTACAAGGATATGAAAATACATAAGGCAGAAAGTTGCTTGTCGTTATAACTAAGGGAACTTTTAATTACGATCTGATACTTTTTGAAATCTAAAGTACACATGCTATGCAATTACTATTAAACAATCTATTTTCTGAGGTTTGCTAGTTTATGCATTTCTGAAATCTTATTAATGAACCTGAGTACGCAGGCAAATTTCAAGGATTGCAAGTTCTACGGAATTTTCTATGTACTCAGTAAAATAAATGAACAGGCATGCCATCTGTAATCATGTTTTATTGCACTGAAATTTCATTGCATCACTCATTTACTGTTCAGAAATATATTCCTTGTGAAGAATTGGAAGATAATGAAGAATCGTGAAACTAAATTCCAATTATCAACAAAACAAATGTATTTTTCATATTTTAATGATACATTATGAAAGAGCACAAAGTTTTAAAAAGCTAGTTGGAATATTAGGTACATTTTCTCTTAGTTTTGTTTGCTCAACATTGGGAATTGTTTTATTTACATCCAATCTTTCTTCTCCGATGAAATTCAATTTCCACAAGATTCCCAAGTAGTTTTCAATGCAGGCACTTATCAGATCAGGACAATGTTCTGCCTGTATTAGAAGTATTGGACATATTGCCTTCCACCATCCAATACAAAAAAGAAGTATCTTATTTTCTGACCACCATTCCAACTCTAAAAGCTCTCCATTAGCAAAAGCTCCCTTCCTAAATACCAATGTACAGCATAATATATGACTGTTTTCAGAAACAGGAAATTGAAAACTTATTTATAAAATGTACTTTATTTACATTTCAAAAAGGAAAATAGATACAGTGTTTTATGAGAGGTGTCATAGTGTATTAATTATGGTTCGTTTCCGAAGTTGTTCAACGTACTCCTTAGCCTGAACAAATCCAGTTTTTGCAGGCGCTGGAGGTGGAGGTGGTCCTTCAACTAATCTCACAAAGTAATGACATTTGACTTTGTTCATAATCCCAAAACAGCCTTTGCCATGGTAGCGGATTCTTTTTATATAGTGCCCTTTTCCAGAAAATGATTCAGCTAGAGAATATCAAAGGAAAAACCTGGTTACAACAGAGATCCAAAGAAACACTTAGTAGAACAGTCAGTTCAGCAATTCATTATCTGTTTAATGCATCTCAAAGAAAACAGAAAATGGCTCAGACTTCTAGGATAATCAAGCCAACAGAATAATAAGAATGAATGATTCAGGTGGTCCTCGACTTATGACCACAATTAAGCCCATGTTGTTAAGTGAGACACTTGTTAAGTGAGTATTGTCCCATTTTACGACTCTTTTTGCCACACTTGTTAAGTAAATGTATTTATTTATTGTATTTATTTATTGAATTTATATTGCCGCCTATTTGCTCATGGCAACTCGAGGCGGCTTACAGAATGTAAAACCATATTTAAATAAAAAACAATAAAAACTAACAAAAAGAATCAAATAAATTAATAAAGTACAATAGAACAAAATCTGGGGGGGGGGGGAATTACCGCCAACTCCCACCCGCCACCCCGACAACAGCAGATCACACGAGCCATTTGATGGGCTCCATCCCATTCTGAGTTCCCCAAGCTTGCTGGGAGAACCAGGTCTTCAGTGCCTTCCAGAAGGGTATTAGAAATTGGGACATTCTAATCTCTGGGGGAATGATGTTCCAGAGAGAGGGAGTCACCACGGAGAAGGCCCTTCTTCCGGGTCCCACCAGGTATATCTCCCTCAGGGATGGGACCTGCAGCATTCCCAGCCTCCCCGCTCTAATGGGTCAGGTAGATGTGAGTGGCAAGAGATGTTTCCTCAGAGAACCCAGACCCAAGCCATGAAGGGCTTTAAAGGTGACAACCAGCACCTTGAATTGCACCTGGAACCAAATTGGCAACTAATGCAGCTCCCGCAGGAGGGGTGATACATGTGCACACTGGGGTCTGCACAAAATCATGTGGGCTGCTGCATTTTGCCCCAACTGGAGCTTCCAAATGTTCTTCAAGGGCAGCCCCATGAACAGCACGTAAGGACTATAAGTTATAAATTACATTTCATTTTGTTTTTTTTTTAAGAAAGTTTCATATAATTATAAAGTATTTACCAATATATAAATTGGATTTAAATTCTACATTATATTTTGTCACTGCCAGTTCCTGGGCTTCCAGAAGAATCTATTATGAAAAAGGAAAAAATAATAAAGTCACAGAGATCATGAACATTTTTAATTTAAGAGTGTAAAGCTCTACAATGAGAAACAAAGGAATATTTGAGGCTTAGCAAAATGGCCTGCACAATTGAAAATCCTATACTCTTCACAGCAGAAGCTTCCGCAATGTGATTTTTATTCCATGAGCCTTACTGCCAGATCACTGAACATTAGTTAACTTTTAGAAGTTCAAACAAGTCCATGCCACAGAGGAGCAGAAGCTGGTGGCATTCTTCAACTTGAGGATATGTAGGCATGTTTGTTCAGCTAGACTGGCAGGAGCTGGGTTGAGTAATGAGAGCTCCACATGTTGACAGAAGCATCTTTCCCACAATGCGGGCTCCCTTGGCTGAGAATCAGAAATAAGCACTGCCCCCTTGAGTCGGTCATGACTGGACAGGGGACACCTTTAAACCCTTTTTTCAACATTCAGCTACAACTTACATCATCCAACCCCAACATCCTTAAGATGGGTGCTTTAATAAGATTCCATCCCCCAACAATATTGAGTACGCCTTCCTGAACGCCTAGAATTTTAGGATTATTCTATTCATCCTACTGGCTTGTTGAGATATTTTGAACTCTTAAAAAGTAAGAAAAAAATTAAATAATTTTCAAGGAGCCTAGAACCAAAACTTTCTATTTTAAATTTCGCACTCTCATACAGGCACATCTGCCATACAATTCATGCAGAACTGCATGGTTATCCCAATTACCTCATCCCTAGAGCTTACCTATACAGCACAATCATATTTTTCCCTCTAATTCCATGTCTCCTTGAAATGCTTTTGTGTGCATATAAATGCGGCTATCCAGAATCTTTGTTTACTCAGAGTACTAACCTTGTTTATGCACTATGCAAATTGAACAAATTATGATTTCTTCAGTAGCCATCGTTAAGAAAACTAAGTTAATGAATACGCTATATAATAGTTCCATTTGTTAGCAGGGGTGGGATTCTACCGGTTCTGTCCACCTCTGTAGAACCGGTTGCTCTGAAGAGCAGCAGACATAGAACCGGTTCTATGTCTGCTGCTGTTGTGGCTCACACACCTGCCCGGGCTCTTACCTGACCTTTATTTCCTGCTTTTTCAACTGCAGCTGCTTTGCACGACACAGCTGCTGTTGAAAAAGCAGGGGGAAAAGGGCTTTTCCAACTGCTGCGCACTTGCACGCAGTGCTGCTCAGCTGTCTGGGCAGCTCAGCAGGTTGTAAATTGCACTCGCACAACTCGCACATGCACGCACGATGCTAATAGACAGAACCGGTAGTTATACCAGTCGGATCCCATCCCTGTTTGTTAGTGTGTTGCCTTAACACGCTTAGCTAGTGGCTAGATTCACACAATACTCTATGCCAGAAAAAAGCAAAACACATTTTAGCTCAGCATGTTTCATGAATCCAACCTACAATTGTATTCACTTTTCCTTTCTCCAAATAGTCCATTCCACCTTTATATTAAGCATCACAATTTTTTTCCAAGATTCATTTCTATTTTACACCTGTTTCCCTTTTCTGTCAAAACATATTAACCATATTTTTTTCTAACCCATTACTGTTTAGCAAACTTTCTTTAACTTTCTTGTATTAGCATTTTTTATTCTTCTGCTTTCTAACGCTTGGGACCCTTCCCTGCTTTGACCTACCCAAATATCAAGTTTCACCACAGCCAAATGGTCATATTTTCCAAAGTACAAAACTCATTGAAAATTAAAGAGCCACATAATATACAGAGAAAATATACTGAATATATTTTCAATATATTCAATAATATATTCAATAATAAATGTAATAATATATTAAATTTAAATTTAACAATAATATATTGAATAATATATGCATATATTGAATAATAAATATCAGAAAATCTCTCACATAAATGGCTTTAACCAAAACTGAATACATTTTGAAGAAAAATGTAACATACCTCTTTGATTATTTTTGCTCCCTTTTTATCATTGAATTCCAACTGAGACAGTGCCTCATCAATTGTCATTCCCCGTATCTGAAATGGAAGGAAATAATATTTTGTACAAAAAAAGTCTCAAATTATTTCAATGGCAAATATATTTTGGCATAAAAAGGCAATGCAAGCAGAGACTGGCAACTGTCGTTAAGCAACACAGTCGTAAAGTGAAACATCATATGACCATGTCCAACTTATGACAATAGTTTCAACTGGTTGTTAAGCAAATCACTGCAGTTGTTAAATGTGATGCCACCATGAAGCTTGCTGTCAGTCACAAATGACAATCACATGACTGCAGGACACTGTGATCAAAATAGAATGTGCACAGGTTGCCAAGCACCCAAATCATGATCAGGTGACTATGGGGACACTGTGACCAGTGCAAGTTCAAAATTAGTTGTAAGCCTCCTTTTTCAGTCGTTGTAACTTCAAATAGTCACTGTATGAGCAGTCAGTCAGCAAGGATTACTTGTATAACATTGGTTTTTACTTATTGCTTTGAGGTCTGAGTAAAACACTGAAGTATCATAACTATAAAATAACTATAAACTGATGAAGCAGGAAAAATTAGGATCATATAAACATCTAAGAAATCTACCAAAAAAAGCTCTTACCAATTTGGCCAGGTACCACATCTTATCCTTATCATATTTGATATCTCTTCGACTGTGGTATACTTCCTTTAAAAAAATGGGGAAAAAATGAAAAAAAGTGTAATGTGAAATGGTTATAGCAATTTATCCCTAAATGAATGTATCCATATTTGAGCACAGAAGAGACAGAACCAAGATCCTTCAAGACTCAAACCCCCAAAGGTATCTTTTTGAGTCAAATTATTTTAAATAGTACATATCAGTAACAAACCACAACCCTAGAACATCCTATAACATCTTGGACACTACACATGGCTGCTTTTGATTACAGTTTTAAAAAATAAAAGCTAGCTAATCTCATGAGATTTCTAGGAAAGACTGCAGAAATCTCATGAGAAGTGACTAGGCAATCATCTGAGATCACAGAGGCCGATCAGTTTTACATACTGGTTCATCTAATTGAATACTAGCTAACTAGAAAAAGTTGTCAGGTATCTTAAGAAAGTCCTGACGTTGTTGCTGATATTATTTTATATAAACCCCATTAGCATGGTATATTGAAGCAGTTAAATTTTAACACATTTTTATAGGAGATATAGGAATTAACTGCCCATGACCAGAGTCCACTCAACTATGCTATTGACATTCTTCTCTATTACCATTATGTCTTCCTTACTTTTCCCTTCCAGGTATTTTCAGTTGATCACTGGAAGAGAAAGGTCCAGTTGCTAAAAAAATAAATAAAATGCATTATCTTAAAGTGTAGACCTTCCCAAAAATGAGGGCTATTGACCTGCTGCAGTGATGAGTACTAGAATTGTTTTGAAAGAAGACATAGCAGTCTTCTATGGTTTTTCATACCCTATCTCACCTCAAAGATGCCAAAGAGCGAAAAGGAGTGAATATATTTTAGGCCTATGAATTTAATTCAAATGAGATGCTATAAAATGCTCAACATTTATTTCATTACATTTATTATAACTGCTGTCTTCCAACAAATGTGCTCACTATGGACCACATCCACCATAAATACAGCACCAAGATCAGATTATTTAATGCTATTGTCACACTGACTGCCATCTATGCCAGTGAGATCTGGAAATCTACAACAAGAATTACTGATAAGATCAACTTCTTTCAACAATGTTGCTCCAGAAGGGTTCTTTGTATCCAGTATAGGGACTATGTCACAAATGAGAAAATTTTACAAAGAAGTAATTCCTGAACTCTCTCTGAGATGGTGACAGAATGAAAAATGTGCTTTGCGGACATGTGCTCCACATGAGTGAGAACATCCAGCAAAGATAGCAATCAATTGGACACCACCAGATCGTCAGAGAAAAAGAGGAAGTCCAAAGAAAACCTGGCACCAAACATTTCAGGAAGATCTGAAAAACATTAATCTTAAATGGAAGGATGCAGAGATTGTAGCTACAGACTGAGAACTGTGGGGTATGCTTGTAGACCAATGTTTAGCACAGGACGTGATGATGATTATAACTGCCAACTCCAACACAGATTTCAAAAAATACTCCTCATAAAATTAGGACTTACTGCTGGTCTTCGGGGTTCATCTGGCCCTTGTGGAGGATAGGTGATCTTGTTCTTTTCTTCCCACTTTGTACTGTACCCGAAAGATCTACACATATTTGAAAGAAGAGGAATGCAGGAAGATGCCAGGACCCTACAAAACAAGGTTTTGTCATTTTACAAAAGCTAAATCCTATCACTGGTTGCAATATACATAAAGGAGAATGTTTGTAGCTCAGGGTTGAAATGCAGGATCCTTGGTGCTCTCTGGGCTTGGCTGTTTTCTTGCAGACATTTCATTAGCCACTGATGATGGTATCTGTTTTAGGTAATGAAACGTCTGCTAGAAAACAACCAAGTTCAGATAGCACCAAGGACCTGTCACTGATTGCAACAATTATTATGACACTGAATGCTAAATTCATCCCAAATAAACTACATTTATTCTAATTCTTTAACCTAGTACCCAATAGAATACTTATTTTAGGCCAACATCCTCAACTGCACTGCAAGATAATATATCCACAAATATAGCTATTTATTAATATTTTACATTTATGTATAATCTAAAGATAAGGAAACAACAAATATAATTCTTTGGGGCAAAGTGAAATGGATATACTTAAGCCTAAACTCAACTCCTGTTAAAATACTGGGTTTTCAGTGGCAGCTGTCACTTTCACCCATTAAAAAGTAGCTTACTGTAGATCAGAAAGGGATCCATAGCAATCAATGTGGCTTTGAATATTGTATTAAGCAACCTTTTAACTGCTTTTTTTCAATCAACCAATAATCACTTGACTCATATTTATGTTATGCCATAAAATGTGGTTTAATACTGCACTGACTGAATTGGTATGTAATAGTAAGCAAAAATCAAAACATTTGACTTAGTAGAATGAGTGAATCTAGCCAATGAGATGACTATCGCTATTACTTTTATCAGTCATTCTTGCATTCTCTCATTTTATACTTACTATATTCCATTCTTTCTTCCATACAGTTTTCAGTTTCTTCTTTTTAACCGTGTAGCCTGGGGCTGGCTAACCCAGTTTTTAATCCTTACATTCACTCATTCATTTACATCACATATACATTTTAGGAATATTTCATCATACATAAACCTTTTTTAGTGTAGATAGTGCACATTTGATTATATTTATGTGACAAAAACAGACAAATACTAAATGTATTGTTTCAAATAAAGGAACTCACCCCTACTGTTATTTAATAATTTGAGTGTGAAATTACATTAGGCACACATATCTAATGCCCTTGAAATCTCTTTTTGGAATATTATATGGTAGTATTTGATTCCAATTATTTGAAAAGAATAGAAAATCAGAGCTACTGGAAAAAATTCACATTGATAAGAAGCAGTCAGCTGGTTGTCAAGTCATGTAAATCCTAAGCTTCTTAAGTTATAAAATTTTTGTATGTATCTTTAGATCTCTACTGGCTCTATACCAATTCTTAAATTTCATGGAAAGAAAGTTTTCCTTCAGTAACCTATTCTGTAAAGCATATATCTTATGCTTTCCAGGGTGTTCCAGTGCCATCTAGTGATCATAAGTATATAATGCTTTCATACTATCAGAGAATGTGAGATCACTCAAAAGCTAATTGATTTGAATTAATATCTATTCATTCAGCTACTCTTCAAAATTACAAAAGCACTGAAAAAATGAGCTTGTGCCCAGTGCTTGTACAACTGTTGTGGGACCCCCACAGTCACCTAAAAATTTGGGCCAGCCTGCATTTACAACTGCCTCCCTGCAGTCATGCCCCTAGCTGACCTATGTTGTGCCTTCATCTGCCTTCTCTCTGCTGGGTTCACCATCCAGGAGAGCATCCCATGTTTTTATTAAGACATGAAAAATAATTACTATTTCATTTGTATTATTTCTAATGTTTAAAACAAGTGAAAACATTTCTATAGTTCCCTACTTTACTTATTCTGATTAATGCTAATTCAGCCCCCATGGAATTTGTGGAGAGAAGCATCTGGCTATGACTACCACAGGACTATTCAAAACTGGGAGATTTTATATGATCAGTGTCTCATAGCAATATTAGCAAGGATCAATTTGTCAGCTTTTGACTACAGGAGAAGGTCACCAAAGAAATATTTTCCCTGCTGTTATATCACATATTTTCTGGCCAGATTACCTACGGCAGTGGTTCCTGATCATACAAAATGCCATAGGAGAGAACATGGACCATGATGTTATAAATGGCCTAGTCCTCTTCATTCAGCTGGAAGACATCAGCATTTGATAAGTCGTATTTTCTAAAAGTTAGTGACTGACGAAAAACAACTGAATTTGGAAGATACATTCGTTAGCTCAGTTTAAAACTGATGAGCTGTCTGGATCCATAAATATTGTTTCCTGTTGCTCATTTCTAAAGATTTGGGATTCATATTTTGGAATAAAAAATTTGAAAATGGTTTTAATACTGAAATCTGAAGGGTTTTTTTTAGGGATGGCAGACAAAAAGGTGAACAAAATATGGGACTTTTGTTTTTACAGGTGACTATGGCAGTGAGGTTGTTGTAGGCCCAAAGACAGAAGGAAATATATATATATATATACCTACAATGGAAGAATGGACTTTGAAATGGCAAATTAATGAAATTGCAAAATTGACTGTTTTGGTTACAGACAATACTTTGATTAAATTTCATGTGACTTGGAGGCCACAGATAAATTTCTTACAGGATAAAGAGAAGAATCATTTTTGATTTTGTAATTTGAAGGTTAGATTGGATTTGACTAGAGAAATACTGTAAGCCTATTTGCATTTGGTTACTTATTACTTTTTTAGTTTAAATTAAGGTAACATTTTAGGAATGCTGGTTTTTAGTATGTTAACCATTAGTATGATAATATATTTTATAGATAGATGTTATTTCTTTAAACCTAGAGAGAGGTGATTATATCTCTGTATTAAAAGAAAGTCAGAGATCACCTGGCTATTTGTTAGAAGATTTTTGGCACGTCTAATGTGTTTTGCCATTTTCTGTTATATTAGCTTATATTTTAATGTATGATGCTGCAACACTGAGTTAGGATTTTCCTGTCTAATACAGGACTGGGATAAATACTCGGGCAACGCCAGGTTATCGGCTAGTATATTATAAAAAAAAGAGAAACTTATTGTATATCATTGACACTGGTTCTAAACAGAGATTTTTATTGGAAGTGAAGTGGATGATGGGAGCAAAGAATCATGGTTTTTCCACTACCATTGCTTCAGGAAAGTAGAATTCAGGAAAAATATATTTGATCAAGTGGGTTCCTGCAATTTGAAAACTGTGGTATAGTATGTATGCCATATTTACAAAATACTATTTATGAAGTTTTAAAAAATGTATTGCAGCTTTTATTAAATTTAATCCATGCTAATTTGCAAGAACAGGAGATTGAACATAACCTGTTTTAATTCATTTGTTCATATGATTTCAATCCGTGATTTGAAAATGCAAAGAGTTGTGAATCACTCATCATCATTCTTGGTTACAAGGAGTTTTGCAGCATCTTAAAGGATATCAAATGTATTATAACAGCCATTGGGAATACTGGTTCAATATGCTGGATTATGATGTCAAACACAGCTTGAGGGCATGATATGGGGGGCCGTTGTATTATGCACTTATATTTCACTTGTAATTTGTAATCCATTTTGAAAACTTTAGTTGAGACAGATAGATAAAGAGAAAGCAAATGCTTGGAAGAAATGAAAATACAAGCAATATTGAATGGGTTAATTTCATTAAAATTCAAATAAATAATTACAGCTTTTCTCAAAACAGCATTATTGGGGAAAACACTAAAAATACCATGGCAGAGGGAGAAACAAATAAGGGGGAAAGGCAGCAATAGATCCTCCTAGCAATATCTTATTCCCAACAGATTCATCAGCTTGGGGGGGTGGTCTGTGGTCAATAACAGATTATTCCCGAAATTAATACAGCATTGCTAAAGATACCAGAAGAAACCAAGCTAAATAACTGTTTTCACAAATTCTAATTTCGTCCCTTGGTGGATTTCTTAACTTCCGCGAACTTCAAGTACCAAAGCTCACCTGCCGGCCCGAGGGCAACCGCCAAGGCTCCACCCGCGGGCAATCCCTGCAACAGAGAAAAAAGATGTGAGTCGTGGGATCCACGAGTACCTGCCCTTCGCAAGCCGCTCGCCCCTCACGACTCACCACAGAGCATCCCGGGCAGCGCCATCTCCCCAGCTCTCAGTCAAGGACCGACCGACCGACCGCCTTTACGGCAGAAGCCGGAAAATTAACCCAAAGCATCTGCCGTAACAGCGCTTCCCCTTGCGACAGCACGTGAGGGAGGTTAGAGCGGGCTTTACGGCGGTGCGTGGTGACCGCTGCCGGGAGCCTCCTGGAAGCGTAACGTGACGGCGACACTTCCTCGGCACTCGCGCGATGGCATCGGCGGCGGCGGTGTTGGGTGCTGGAGCCGCCGAGAGCGTGCTGCCGGCTTCCCCTAACTGGTATTGCAGCCGATGCAGCGACGCTTCCCAGGACGGGCATCTCTTCGGCTTCGCGGCTCGTCACAGCGTGTGTCTCCTGGAGGTCCGCCCTACCGCTCCCACCTTTTATGGTAGGTGGCTCCAGGCTGAGAGTCCGCAGGGGAAGTCCTCCTCCATCATCCCCCTCGGTGGTGCCTGAAGCGGCTTGCGCCCTTTCTCTCAGGGCGGTCCTGGGAAAGAACAGCAAGTTCCCGCTTCCCGACTTAAAAGCCAGAATAAAATAGTCCTTCGGTGGATGGGGGCCAAATAGGAAAGCTTTCGGCAGACTTATCAGCCCAGTTTTCCAATTATGAAGACCAGCCTCCTGGGAGTTATAGTTCCAGCGTACTTTATTAAAACGATTATTACGTCTTGGCTCCCCTGCTACTAAATTTAGGTATAGGGTTACCTTTAGTTATAAGGTTAGGTATAGAGAGAAAATATGCACATAGGTCCATTTTACAAACTGACTCGGTAATACCTGTTAATTTCACTTACGTGAAATATGCTCTGTATGAAGGAGCAATGCATTACTTATTATATTTGGTGAAGGGAGCGTATCTGTTTAAATTTTGGAAACACTATGCGAACAGGTGAGTTGGCTTAGAAATCTCCCTATGTAGGAGCAGTAGGCTTTGCTCTATTTGTCTATTTTTACATTGAATTCGGAGTTCTGGTAGAGGTCCCTTAAAACTTGAAGCCAAGGGATTGAGAAAAATATAATATGCCACACATACCTGGTCAGAGTCTATCTATGTGCAAAGATCCACTTCTTATTTTCCCTACCAAGTAGAATTAGGTGGATAGCCATAATAGAAAGCGTTTCATCATTTGTGCCTCTTGACCTACAGAATGTCTTGCCTAAAAAGGCTGTCTCTTGTCAAATTAAGACAGTCTTCCTATCTCATCCATTGTGGACATTTTGCTGTTCACTTTTGTATCTTTAAATGTGCTTACTATATTATGCAGAGCTGATGTCTGAAAATAATTTGAATCCAAATCCTAAAAAGATTGCAACATTGTGAATGGGCTGTTCCTTTAGCTGGGAATTAGGGAAGTTAATTGGGGTAGAATTGTTCAGAATAATACTTGGATCTATTTTATAAGAAGTATGTTTTTCATTGCAGGGGAATTAATAGGCCACACTGAAAGAGTTTCTGGCTTCACATTTTGCCCCTATCCTGGGCAACACTACTATTGTGCCAGTAGCTCTGATGATGGAGCTGTGAAAATTTGGAATGTCCAGACTTTGACTGTAATGATGGAACATACACTACATCAGGTAAAATACATGTGGAAATGGTAGTTCTTGATCACTAGTTGGGTTGTGATACACATTTTACTATATTCTGGAGCAACTTTTCATAAACTGTAGGCTTGAGTTTGCCAAGCATCACTGAAATCTTTGTTATTAGAAACATGGAATTAAATATTTATCAAGATTTGTACTGTGTGTATATCGTCTGGAATCTGGATGATAGGCTGTGAGATAATGTGAAAAAAAATTGTCATGCAGTCTGTTTATTTTATTGAATCCTGCTACCTGTCTTTCTCCTTTCTTTCTAATTTTCGTATCTCTTGGATGCGTAGATACTGAAGATATATTTTCCAGATGAAAGCTTTTCTTTGATATCAATAATGATAATTCTAATATCTTAAGAGTAAATAAAGATCAATATGATTATTACTGAAACCTTTATTGTCAAATGAATTGGTTCTCATCCTTATTGACGTGATTGGATAGGTCATAGATACTTAAATTTCATGTTTTTAAAATATAATATGGTTATTATGAAATGTTTGGAAAATATTTTTCTTAATTTCTTTCTATAAAGTACTCTTGAATTATTTTGCACTCTAGTCAATAGCTGGTTATTATTTCAAGAAAGAAAGAGATAGAGATCATTGTCTCAGTTTCCACCTTGGAAGTGATATGAGGCAGATTCATCTCCATATGTTACTGGCCTTTGATTGTTAACAAGTGCACCCACTGGACTCTGGAAGTAACTGAGAAATAGTTGCAAATTTAAATTCTGGCTTTTTATATTTGAATGTTTTACAAAACCTCAAAAATATCAACATCTAATTTTCCATTTAACTGTGCTGCTTTTTTCCCTCTAGAATACAATTTCTGCATTGCACTGGTCACCCAGAGCAAAAGATCTTATTGTATCAGGTGATGAGAAGGGGATAGTGATTTGTTACTGGCATAATCGAAATGACAGTCAACAATTTTTTCCAGAACCTAGAACTATATTCAGTCTTACTTGTTCTCCTCACCATGAAAATCTGATAGCTATTGGGTAAGGACCAAATGTTTATATATTTGACATAATTTATAATACTATATACTTACATGAGTAAGAGGTTGAAATATGTGTTGTTTTATCAATGGTGTCCAAAGGGCACTAATGAATCAGATTCTCCCTCATTTTTTGCATGTGGCCTGAATCTGCTTCAAACATTTGGACCTGTTTAACCACACACCAAACTGTTCTTTTACTGCCAAATACTAGGGGAAAATTAGGAGTGTTGTGTTAGTTTCATAGTGTTTGTAACAAGTGATGAATTAAGTAATTGAATTCAAATTATTTTAGTTCCTTCTGTTTCAATCCTACTTCTAATTTTATAGCACTATCGGAAGTTATTACTCTATACATTGTGGGAGTTACAAGTGCTTAGTGTAAAAATGTTGGTTATGTTAACAACCAACACTCAATTAGAGAGCTGACAAGCAGAAGGCAAAGGGTTTGTTAAAAAAAGGGAGGAAAAATAAATGCAATAATAAAAAAGCCACGAGTTTTAAAATAGATCCTCATGTTTTACCAAAGGGCAATCAATTCTTTAGCTGGTTTCATTTTAATATACAGTAAAGATTTTTATTCAGATACACCATTTCAATATATAGAAAGCTTTGGCTAAATACAGGTTGGAAAGACCTAAATCATCCTAACATGTTTTAGTTAGGATTATATTGAAGAGATATATATTTATAAAACAAATATGTGATTATGGAGAAAAATATTTCAACCCTAGTCTGAATCTAGAATGCTGATTAATTCTACTTTATCTTCTTTCAATTACTTATATTTCTAGAATAATGGGGAAAATAAACAGACTAACTTAAAGTATGCATTGCTCCATATCTGCGTAAAGTAATTTTACAAACTGATATAATGCCACCAAAGCATATGCTTTATGTTCAGAAGCATCTGTTTTTCCCCATAAACTATACTGTATATCTGCAGATATAGAACATAGAATGCTTTCTGTTGTGTTCAGTATATAATTATTGGCAGGTTGAGAAATAATCCAACTGGCAAGCTTTGCTGTTCAGATTAATTAATTTCATGCAGAAACAATGAACTATTAACATTCTATGTTAGATTATGAAAAAAAATAATCATTTGTTTACAGTTCATATGGGCTGAAATCTCACTTTCTCTCACTTATTAGCCCGTGTAAGCACCTCCATCCTAAGGTTTATGTTTACCCCCCTGCTCTTACAAACAACGAAGATTACATTACAAACATGAAAGGGCTGCATCTAATATTGGGATTATTTATTGAACATGACATTACCTAAGAGATTAAATATTTCTTGCTCAATATAAATCTTTTTATCTCAAGCTATAAGGATGGGATTGTGATTGTTATGGACATCAGCAAAAAGGGAGATATTGTTCATCGCTT